TTTTTTTTTAACAGGGACAGTTGTGCTGTGGAAACTCTACTACCCTTTAGTGCGATCTCAGATCATTTGGATTAAACTTTTGGGAACGTGTAATCTGACTCTTTTTAGTAAATTTCTTTCAACCTCGACGTTATACAACTCTCCTCAGGGCCCCAAGTTTCAGGATAAATAAAGACCTGATCTGTTAGCCCCTAACAATTAGGCTAGTTTTTGCAAACTAAATCAAGAAAATGACACAGAGTTTGTCGAAGTCCATTTTGTGTGTTATGCGCCTTATCACATCGGTCAGGTATGCTGGATTAGCAAGGTGTTGCTCCTCCCTGGGAATATCATTTTAAAAAACCGTGCTTTTCACCGTCGTGCTTTTTGAAAATCGGAGTATGCATATTGGCTAGTTACTTTTTGCCTCTACTAGTAGGCGTTTCCCTTTGTTTCACTTTGCTTCATTTTCGGGAGCGCTTATTGCTCTGTCTTTTTTTCAAGCGACTGATGGCATTAGTTCAGTAGGCTGTTTATACCCACTTGCCCTGTCTATGTGTGTAACTCAATACAGTGGCTTTTAAACATTCAACAACTTATCCACCAGATTAGCCTAACATTTGTTGACGAATTAGATCAGCGCGTCAAACTGGGTGATAACTCAGCAAATTTGTTATTGCCAAATGCAATATTTCTGGTCTATTTTTCTAAGAAAAGAGCATTGTTGCTTTTGAATCCTGAGGTTTTTTTTAGTGGTTTTGCGTGTATGGTCAGGTAAAATACGTGGGCTTATTGCTGTCGCAGGTGAAAGTAAGTGGTCTGATGAACAGCATTGCATGTGATATGGAATCTGCCAAGAAATGTTTAGTGAAGACATCATGTAAGGGGGGGGTGGGTGAATATTCGTGTATCAGTTGGAGTGAGGGTGATGAAAACTGGTCGAGCTCACTAATAAGCTCTGTGTATTTGTCTCTACTTTGTGAGATGGTTTAACCAACAAACCATCAATTGTGCACCCATGTGTTTTGCCTACTTGTTCCTTACGTTAACAGTGGTAATGTTAATGCTACCTTCGTGCCTGAAAAAATCTTCGATTGCTTTGAGTTGTGAAATGGAGGTACACTATATTTCAGGGGAAGTCTGAAAGAATGCACATTCGACAGATTGTACTTTTGCAGTTTCTTTTTTTCACTGCCTTCATGATATGTCATACCTCTTAATCCAGAAATAGAACCTGCTCAAGCTGTTTCCCAACTAGACCGTTTAATTGAGTTTACAAGATATTCACTGGGCTGAACTTTCTTCGGTACTCTTTGGATTTCCCCCAACCATCATTCAGGCTTTTATTTACCTAGGAGCACCCTTCCTCGGATGCTCTGCCTATGCTAGTTCACTTCCTTCCAGACCTTGAGTGCAACGAGTTGATTTCTCATCACCCACGTACCTCTGCGGATGTTTGTAAAATGCCAAACCGCATTTATCGGTTCTAGTGAACTTCACCTTGACCGATCTTTTAATCTTATTTGTACCAAAAGTTTCCCTTGAATGAACTGAAGCGCTTGTGTCATCTAACGGGTTTGCGTCATCGCTGTCTGCTACCAAACCTCTTGCTAGTGCTGATTACGTTTTCTGTTTTGCCTGGCCTCCGTACATTCTATTAATCAATCTAAATTCTCATCAACTGATTTGAAAAAAAAAACAACTTGACAATTTGCGTCAAATCCCTATGTAGTTTGCAGTGTACACCAGGGTAGTAACCTGCGAGATAGCTATACAGGTGCGACTATATCTCCAGTAATTTTTACTGAGCTTGCTACTTTTCTCTATTTCGCGAATCACGTTTGTTTAAAGATACCCCTAGAATATTTTTACTGCTTGCTTCTCACGCGGAGTTATTATGACAGGATTATAGGGGTTTATGTATGCATATAAGATCGCGTAAGTTTCGTTGCATGGTCCGCTTCCTTTGCAGTGCAGGTTTACCCTGCGCTAACCTGTGTAATTTATTCATAAATAGATTCTTTCGTTAGTTATTAGGCACTCGTAATGAGTTTCTGCTGGCTATCCACCTATCGCGGTGGTGTTTTTTTAAGCACTAGATGGAAAGTAGACACGGTTTCGATTTAATTTCCAAATGTTTATTGGAAAATATCGATTGAACTAGAAG